AGCCAAATGTTTAATTAGATATTACAAAAATAATTGCTCTCTAGTAATAATAAACATCGGAATAGCTTATTTAATGAGAATTACTTTTTTTTTTAATTTTTATGAATTAAAATGCTTTTTTAACATTTGGAAAAACAGTATTTATAATAACTAATTTAATATTTTTTGAAATTTAATAATGCATTTTATTATTACTTAACAAAATCTTTTAGCCTTTTCTAGAAGATTTAAAATGGAAAACAGGGAGGATCCAAAAATATATTCAATAAATTTAATATAGTCGATATACGAAAATTAAAAAGAGAAAAGGAGAGAAGACGGAGAAGAAAAAAACATTCTTGTGCAAAGTGAAAATTCTATCGCGCTTTGCATCAACTTTCACATTATTAAGTGAGTACCGTTTGAAGAAGTTGTATTAATAGTGCCAATAAGTATGTTACTGTCAGCGATTGAAAGGGAGAACAGCATTAGAATACATGTCATTCATTCTATCTAATTGAGATTACGAATTTTAAATATAAACTAGTTCTATAATCGTAAAACAAAAAAATTAATAGCAATTAGATAAGTAAATTAATTATTACATGTAAATGCTCATAATTCAGATAATTACTGTTTTATGAATAATTAAATATTCTTTTAGACTACATATGTAGACTGGAAATAGAAATTTATACTTTCCGTATAAAATTGAATGTTATACATATATGAAACAGTTTAAGAAAGTCAACATTTATATTTAACAATATAATTTTATGTAGATTTAAATCAAAATTTTCTGATTTTATCTTAATTATTTTTAAAAATATTTCTCTTATTAAAATACTTTTTGATCCAGGTCCTAAGTTGTCACCAAACTTTTTACATTACTTTCAAATACAATATAAAAAAATTTGTAATTTATTCATAAATTTTTCATTTCGTTACAAAATACATCCTTAAAAATTCATTTATGATATGTGTATATATCATATATATATATTTGATATGTGAGTGTATATGTGCGCACGCGCGCAGCATACACATACATAACAAGCAAAATTTTAATAAAAAACATTTTAATATATCTGTATTTTGCAAATAAAAGTCATGACTCAATATCTCTTTGAATATCGAAAATTACATTATTATTAAAGTTGATGTGATTTGAATAATCGGCTGTGCAGTTTACAATTTGTCTTGTGATTGTGGATAGCAGAGTCTAAAGGGCTATATACGCTAGGTAAAATGAGACTTGTATACGCGCGGAACATAGTATGCCGTTACCACGCAATTTGCAGCAATGTAATTGCGCAACACTTTTGCGGTAAGGATACTTAATCCGACTGTTCTATCCTCTCACTTC